GGTCTCTGGGAACGCCGGCGGGAAATGGGGCGAGGGATCCCGGCCCGAGCCGCCGCCCCGCCGCGGTCTGTCGGCAGTGGGGTGTGCAGCCTCCCTTGGGGGACCGAAGTGCAGAGGTCCCCGTGGAGTCCGGGGGGCTGCAGAAGAACAACGCTTCGCCTTGATCCCGCAAGCGTGTGCGTTAAGGAAGGGGAGACGTGAAGAGAGGGCTGAGCCTGTGCGATTCCTTCTGTAAGCAAAGAATTTGCAGCAGGGAAACCTAATGAGGATTTATAGGACAAGACAAGCTAAGGATATGTTCTGTGTTTGCAGGGTTAGAGATCTAGGTTGTAAGCCCCTTTGGGCATTATCTACCAATCTTTATACCTGTCAAACAGCTAAGATTTAAAAAGAGACTAAAAGGTACACATGTAGCTATAAACAAATCTTAGTTTCTCTAAGTCATCCATTCATGAATGACTGTCTTCAGCTGTGTTTTGCTGAACAGTATCTAGATTAGGCCCTTGCCTTCTTGAGTACAATGCTTTAGTATCCTGTGTGTTCCCACTGAAGTCCATATGACACCTGGACATCATGAAATGTTGACAAGATCTGGTTCAAGATCGTGAGCCCACGAGTGGCAGGATGCTCTTTTTCATTGCAAAGTGCACAGTTCTAGTGTGTGTACATATGCAGTGCTCACGTGTGTGTGCATAAATTCTGCCTACAAATGGCTGTGCTTGCTACCAACAATGTATAGTGGGCAGAATACTGACTTAAAGCATTTTGTGGCAGATGTTTTCCCAAAACCTGAAGAAATAGCATGTATTCCTACAAATTTAGATGGCAACATCTCCTGTGTACATGCAAGCTTGATTTAGTTGGGACTTTGTTGTTTCACTTAAGTAACCACTATAGGATGAATATGTTGTACATTCTCAGCCTCAGCCAATTATTTATAAAATTGAGGTATGCGCAGGGATGCACAAGCACAAGTTCCCTGCTCTCAAGGTATTCAAATGTAACTTCATTGTGGCAAGATTGCTGTGACAGCTAGAAGGAACAAGCTGCATGGCTGAATGCTTACACGTATGTGCACATACACACAAACACACAAAATCAGTTAGGTGCAATTGGTTTAATCACTTATGAGCAGCAGGTCGATCTTTTCATGTTAAGCTGGTTGCTGACTGAAGAACAAAAGCTGTTTACTCTGAGAGAACCAGAGTGCAGCTATTCCATAAGGGCACTGTCTTGCTATATGCCAGCAACTGCAGAACAGAATGACTCAGAGGAGGCCTGAAACCTGGCGGCTGACAGGGGTTGGGGTGCTGTGGAAGTCCCAGCAAAAAAGAGTGCTTTCTTCCGTTCCCTCTCCCAGGCTGGCATTCAAAATGGCTGCAGTGGTAGTGTTGGGAAACACATCAAAAGGACGCACACCTTTGCTACAAATGTGCAGTCCTTTAGTTAAAAAGATTTTAAGTCATTCTTTTGTACTACAATGATTCCTGCCTGGTTCCTTCTTTTCCTTCACTTCATCTGAGATTCAAGGGTTTGGAATCTCTTGAAACATCCCATTCTTTGCTACAGTGGCTCCTGACAAAAGTTTGGGTGCAGTCTTGTGTGTCATGAAAATCAAACTCAGCTGTCTTCTCACCCTCTTTCTATTTTTGTAAATACTTCAATGATTTGGAGATTTTACAATGAAGAGGTGGTCTCTTACATCTTTAAAATAATAGAAGAGCAACCTCCAATTCAATTTTTTAAAAAAAAATCTGTCAAGCCTGAAGGGTGAGCATGAGCCGACCAGAAGGTAGACTCCTTTCCTTTCCCACTGTCTTCCAGAGAATCTTCACTTGATTCGGAGGAAGTTTCCCATTTTACATCGTGATTCTTCTTTATGGGAGGGTTATTTTCATTCTCTGTTTCTCAGACCTTTTCCTGTAGATGGGAACGGGGGAAGGAGCCCAGACGTGGCAACACATTCTCAGGCTCCTGCAGGACCACCATGGCTTATGATGACTCCAAGAACAAAGAAGGTATGACTGCTTCATAATCTCAGAGGGAGTTGCCAAAAAATAAAACAAACAAAAGGGTACCCTCTGCAGCCCTTGCCAGGCCATGCAGTCAGAGTGGGAAAAGAAGCTAGAATGCTGTGGAGCCCTTAAATTTAACCTGGCTGAGTTGCTGGAGGATCCCAAGCCCTTGACTTCCAGATGTAAAGTACTGGGATTAGAAACTGAGAGGAATGGATGATATACTCTGCCATTGCAGCCTTTCTTCTCCTTGCCTGGTCAATGGAACTGGAGACCAGGGATACGGATGTGTTCAGTCATGGTAACATTTCTAGGTCCAGTTGTCTTTAGGAAGAAATATACAAGGGTTAGAAATGAAATCTTGAGTGATTGTGTTATAGCATTAGAACACTGAGCCCCATCCCTGTGGTCCGAGAGTACGGATTGTTATCTTTCAGCCCCTACGCTTGTTGGGTTTTGTGCATCACTCTGTGCCAATGTTTGCTGTTATATTATTTTGTGCATAGTCCACATGTCTATCATTCCTTAATGTGGTATTTCATTTCTTCCTTTTTTCCCATTTCACATAAATCTTAGAGTTCCTAGAGAGCGACCGAAGTGTTGATGACGTGGGGCTGGCAACTGGCAGATTACAGCGAGAGAAAAAGCGCTCTTACAAGGATTTGCTGGAAGAGGAAGATGAGATAGCAACTCAGGTCAGGAAGCCCTCAGAGGAGAGGCTAAAGGTGTAAGGATATGTGTAAACCTAGCAGTGGAATGGGATGGATGGGTTTCTTGTTCTTTTTTTGTGTAGAAATGCATGTAGAAGACAGCAAGAGCAGCTAATGATGTCCTGTATTGTTCTGTAACTTTCCTGCGGAAAAGGAGGGGGTCAATCCCAATTACAACTGACCTCAGAAAATAGGGCAGTAAAGTGCTGTTGTAGTCTTGATGTAGAACCTTGCAAGTCATAAGATAGTATGAATAACATTTTACACAAAAAAAAAAAAAAAAAAAGATTTTTAGAATTTATGGTGGTATAAATAGCCAGCAAAGGATGAAGATAATGTTAACTGATGCACTGTTGTCTTCCTGATTCTGCAGACAGCCTGAAACGATAGCTCTTGAGAGGTATGAACTTGCCCTATTCACCTCTTTGGGGCCTTAACTCTGAAATCACATAGCAACAACTTAAGTTTCTTCAAAACTTTCTTCCTTGAGCTAAAATTTCTGCTGTTAGCTCAAAGGTGACTATCTTGTGATTGTTTTATTTTTTTTTTTTAATCTGGAAAATAAGTTCTAGTTTAAAATTAAAATCTTCTACCATGCAGATGGAATTCTATAGAGGAGCTTCATTTTCAGACCACAGATTGGTCAAGAGACAAGTAATAATTGAGTGACATGACATATTAAGGCCAATTTTTTGGCCCATCATTTTGTCACCTCTCTGTACCTCCTTTTACTTCTTTTATCTTCTTCAGCATATTAAACATGAAGTGCTCACATTCATTTTCAAGGCTTGACAGTCTATGCATGCTTAGTTATTTCTTAGCTTTGTTAAGAGGTAGATGTCTGTCTTTTATCAACTCATCAGCTGATCTCCAAGTGCTGGCTTTCATTGCCCATTTCTTAACACCTTTAAATGGCTTTTTCAAGTTTTGTTGTGTATTGCTCCTCTCACTTGGGGGGAGCTCCCTATAGAGATCTGTCTTTCAGTTTCCTTGTAGCCCTGTTGTGCTTCAATGCTTACAGAAAGCTTGATGCCAGTTAGGTGGCTGATGTGCTGAAACCAATCCTGACTAATACCGTTTTTTGTATTCTCCCACCTATCTGAACCATGCTTTTTGCCTCTTACCATAAACCTACACTGTGGGCTCTTGGGGACAGAGTATGTTTCCATTGCTTCTTTTAGCAACTAGACTAATGATCCTGGTTCATACCTAGGGTTCCTTGATGTTACAGTAGTACAAATTATTATCTATGGCAGTAGTCCATGTGAATTTCGTATTATTTCCCTCTTGTTTGTCAGCAACTTTTTTCTTCTTATTCTAGGACAGTGAGCTTTTTCCGGGGACAGAACCTCACAAAAAGAAGAGAAAGCACTCCTCCGATGAGTTCTGCTACAGAGGTAAGATAGTAGTCAGGCAGCAGGGGCTAACAGATCATGACTTCGAGGAAAGGATGCTGTTAAACCAATGTTACCAAGCTTTGTGGTTAGCACTTTATGGGGTATATCAACCTATCTTAGGACAAGTAATCAGAAACCTGATGCTGATCAGCACCAGACACCAAAAGATCAGGGAATGATATTTTCAGAGTCTAGCTTAACAAGTTGCCGTTGTTGGGCGTAGACATCTTCCACCCTCCCCTTTATTGACAAGTTGTAGTTTTCTAACCTATGCCTTCCCTTTTGGGATTTGCATTTCTTTTTTTCCCTGTTGTAATTTTACTTATAGATAGTATTACTTTCTCTGAATTTATAAAAACAGAATGCATCAGGGTGAAAAATAAATGCTTTTGGGTTCAGTTTAAATGCAGAAACATTATTCTTACAATTAATAAGCTGGCCAGAAAATGACATTTCTGTTCATAAAAGCTTAACAGGTTTAAGATTTATTTTTGGCTCAATTAAAAGAGAAAGCCAAGCTTAAATGTCATCAAAATCTGTTTTCAGAATGAAAAAGCTTGTATTTTCAATTCATTGGTCTCACCTTAGCTAGAATGGCATGAAAACCTTGCACTTGAGATGTAATTTCAGGCTCAATAAGATACATTTTCATCAAAATATGTTATTTCACAATGGAATACAGAGTTTGACAAAACTTCCAAGAACTTTCCTACTCTGTCTTGCTGCCTTAAATTATTTGACCGACTCAGGTGTTACAGCTCCTGAATTGTATCAGTAAGGTCATGCTGAGCTGCCTACAAACTTCAGAGATCTTCTGTTTAAGCCAGGATGTAAATCTATTAGCTGTAATCATAAGCCTTGCAGAATTCCCATTTCACTTCTTTGGGCTAGTGTAATGCTGTCTTTAAGGGAATCCTCTTGATGTACATTTCTCTTGGTCTGCTTCAGGTGTTTCGCCTTTGGATCTACCATCAAAGAAGAAGAAAAAAGCAGTTTCTAGCCCATCCTCAGCTGATACAACCATGGATTTACTCAAGGCTATCACCTCACCTTTGGCCACAAGCTCAAAGTCTTCAAAGAAGACCTCTGAAAAATCATCTTACTCTTCCTCTGGCCATTCCGAAAGCAAAAAGGAGCACCACAAGAAGAAGCTGAGTGGGAGCAGTGGGGAGCACTCTGTGGACGATGGCAGCTTCCACAAATCTAAAAAAATGAAGCCTCTCTATGTGAACACAGAGACACTTACTCTTCGTGAACCTGATGGCTTGAAGATGAAGCTCATCCTTTCACCGAAAGAGAAGAGCAGTGCAGCAGATGATGATTCTTTCTCCTATTCTTCAGCACCAGCAGCTGCAAAGAAATCTTCGAAGAAATCGGCTCGAGATGAGCAAGGCTCATTCCTTTTGGGTCATGAGCTGCAGAGCTTCCTAAAGTCATCCCGGAAGAAGCACAAACCACCTCCGGACTCACATCCACCTTCTGAGAGTTTTGGTGCTGACACCTCCCTTTATTCAGAGGGCCATGGGAGCGAGTATGAGATTTCAGGTATGGAGGCACAACCAGAATCTGGTTCCTCTTCTGGTGGAGAGTTGGAGGCTGGAGAGCTAGTAATAGATGACTCCTACCGAGAAATCAAGAAGAAAAAGAAGTCAAAAAAAAGTAAGAAAAAAAAAGACAAGGAGAAACACAGAGAGAAGAAGCACTCTAAGTCTAAAAAGAGTTCTGGGCATGCCTCTGTGGCAGTAACAGAAGTAACAGTGTCACCACCACCTCCTCCCAGTACCGCCTATGTTCTTTCTCCACCTCCTCCTGCTGTTTTTCACTCAGATGGTCAAGGTGAGAAGAGGAGGAAAAAGGAAGACAAGGATAAGGACAAAGCTGAGAAATGGGAAAAGGAAAGAGAAAAGGAAAAAGAAAGAGAAAAGGAAAAAGAAAGAGAAAAGGAAAAAGAAAGAGAAAAAGAAAGAGAAAGAGAAAAGGAAAAAGAAAGAGAAAAGGAAAAAGAAAGAGAAAAGGAAAAAGAAAAGGAAAAGGAAAAAGAAAGAGAAAGAGAAAAAGAAAAAGAAAGAGAAAGAGAAAAGGAAAGAGAAAGAGAAAAAGTAAGGAAAAATTGGAGGGAAGATAGAAGTTGGGTGATGGTTAATGGTGAATTAGGCACTCCAATACAAAGGCATGTTAAATTGAAACAGAAGGATAACTAATACCAGTATCGGTGGTTTCACTGAAGCATGTTTGGAAAAATGTGTCAGCGACTGTGATTTTTGTTTGTAGTAAAAGGAATATATATCATTCTGGTTTTGTGGCACAGGCAATCTTTAGCCAGTAGAGGTTCTTTGAAAAGGTTATACTTAATTTGCTTGGTACAGGTTATGTACCAAGCATAACTGCATGATTTTTTAAGGTAACTGGTTCTACCTATTGCCAGACAGACTTTTGGACTAGTGATCTAGTCCGTCATCACAGTTCCTGTAAAAAGGAATCGAGCTGTAACCTGAAAAGTGAAGATATTTACCCATTTACTCCTGTATTCAATTCTAATTCTTATAGACTACATCATTTCCAGTTTTGTCCTGTACCCATAAATTCAGTTTTCCATGGTTAGTGTATAAAAATATGAGTAGGAGAAATGGTAGCTAGCATATGAATGAGTTTACAGGTGATATAACTGCATAAGTGTATAAATGGGGAAAAGCAATTTCTACATGTTCAGAGAGACAAGAGTTGCTTTGAGTCAGGAAATGGGCAGGCGTAGCCCAAATTTGTTCAGCCATTATTCTGTTCTATTTGGTAAGTTTTCTCTGATCATAGCTTGGCAACTGCTTATGCCTCTGCTGCCCATGTACTTATAGTGTCTATTTTCCTGCCAGTTTGAAGTTTTGTAAGGATGCAAGGAATGCAAGGAATGGAACAAAACATTATGATGAGGACTGAATTGTTTTGACAGATCTGTGATAGGTACTGTGAATAGTATGACATCTATTTTTATTATTATTATTTTAAGTTTTAAAACTGAGATATATTAACAGAGTTCTATGTTGATCCTGGATTTAGAATAGCAGGTGGTTATAACTTATGAATGAAATGCATTGATAGAGTTGTTGCAAGATAAGCTTTGTACTAATACTGGTTCTGGCTGGTTCCTGTGCTTTCATAAACACTAAATTCAGCCTGAACATGTAAAACACTGCTTTTTTACATTCCTGATCTAAGCACCTCATCTTTCTTTAAGTCTTCAATAAATGGCAAATTCTTACTAAATTTGAGTAGGTTTCATTATAATTAAAAATCTTTGTTTCCTTTTCTTCTTCTGACTAGCCAAAGAAGAAAAACATGTCTGCCTATCAAGTGTTCTGTAAGGAATATCGTACAACTATTGTGTCTGAGCACCCTGGAATAGGTGAGAGAATACTCTAACCTTCTCTTGATTATACACCAGCTGGATTAATTAGCAGAACATACCGTCTCTGTTTCATACCAATCTCTTAATTTTGATAGAATGCAAAGAATCTGCCAATTTTCTTTGAATAAGAGGAGGCAAAGGGGACAAGAGTTGATTTCATTTTTTGATTACATTGCCTTTTAACCAAGCTGTGAATTTGGATAAAGAAATTGCTAGCTCTTTCTTTCTCTAAAGAGTTATCTTCATTGTGCCACTTTCCTGTATATTCATGTGTGACCCTATATTCCTGGTAACAGATTTTTTTATTTTAAACAGTAATGGGAATGCACACTGGCAGTCATTTTCAGGACAGTTCCATTTGTGGAATGGGTTGCTTCCTAAAGGTGTATGCATGGACCAGTAAATTTCCTATGTTCTCTCCATGATTTTATGATTGTTTTTGTTTTAAACATTTTTCTTCTTTCCTTCTGCCAGATTTTGGAGAGCTAAGTAAAAAACTGGCAGAAGTGTGGAAGCAGCTACCTGAGAAGGATAAACTGGTGAGTGCATGCGAGATGTTTTTGTAAAATGATTTCTGTAAACTAGGTGCTTAGGTCAGAACATGCTGGCAGCATTGCCACCATACCTTGAAAAATGCTACTTATGTCCCCAAAGTAAGGAAAGATGGAAAGTATGGAGACCTTGCCCTTGCGATTGTAAAAGCATCCATTTACTTCTCATGGTATTACTTCACCAGTCAGCTACATAACATCATTCTGCCTCCAGGTCCTGGCACCAGGTAACAGAATTACCTAATATTGTGAATCTCTCTTTTTATACCATGGTAACTGCAGATCTGGAAACAGAAAGCTCAGTATCTCCAACACAAGCAGAATAAAGCAGAGGCCACCACTGTGAAGAGAAAGGCATCATCTTCAGATGGTGCACCAAAAATAAAGGGTAATTGTTGCACTTTATTTGCTCTAGTCTTCTTTCTTGGACATGGAAAATAGTGTTGCCTGTGGAATAAGGAATAAAGGTCCTTTCCTGCTTCACACCCCTACGTGCTTTCTCACAAGTCTTGACATTTAACTCATATTACTCAAAAACAGTCTTTCTGTGAAAGTAAGAATGACATCAGCAGTTTTTAAAAAATATTTCCTTGTCTAATTTGTAGAATGGTATTGTTTTTAGCAGTTTAGGGATTGAAATGTAAACCAAGAGGAGGCAGCAGGGAAATTCTAGTGAGATTAGAATTGCTGCAAGAGGAAAAAGGGTTGTTCTTGGCTTGGTATCTCTGGTTACCCAATATCCCAAACCAAATCTCCCAAATTGCATTCAGTCGAGTTAGATGCTTTGCACACTTAAGAAAGTTTTCACTCCAAAGATCACACAGGACCAGGCCCACAGAACTGTTTAAGCATCTCTTGCCTTTGAGATTTGAACTTTACTAAGTAAATAGACTTGGAAGTAAAAGAATTAAAGAGGAGAATGTGGAATTTTAATTTGTGTGTTTCCAGCTTCTCCAACAGGAGTCATTTCCCCTCATAAGAAGTCCCCCACCAGCACTATGGTGGTATCTTCCTCACCAGCCAAAGTCCCTGAGACAGATCCTATTGATGTAGCTGCACACTTACAGTTGCTGGGTGAATCTCTGAGCCTCATTGGACACAGACTGCAGGAAACAGAGGTGAGTCCAGCAATGTCATGGTGATGTCATGTAATCTACGCACAGGATTAGGGGACATTGTCATTTTACTTTACTTAAAAGTTTAGTCAGTGCTTTCCTGTTCAGAAGAGAAATTAGAGATGTTGTGTTGTGTTTCTTAGATGCATTGCTCTCTCATTTCAGTAAACTAAGAAGCCTTGTTTCTCAGTAAACAGTAGGCATCAGACAGGTCCTTTGCAGCTCTAGGTCCATGAAGGCAATTCTTAGCTCAATGAACTCTTCAGTCTTTTCTTACTATATGTTCACCTTGGATCTGGTGCTTCCTTGCTATCTCTGCCAATCTCTGGTCCAGTTTCTGTTGCTGTCTCAAGCCTTCTTAGAGCACGATCAGAGAAGGCCTTTACCAAGATGTTTTTGCATGTCCTGTTGTTTCCTGGCAGTATCATATTGTCAGTGCTCTGGATAGGGGCTACTACTGTTTCAACTTGCCTGGTAAGTTCTAACACCAAGCTGTGTGGTGCAGTCGACACGCTGGAGGGAAGGGATGCCATCCAGAGGGATCTTGACAGGCTTCAGAGGTGGGCCTGTGCGAACCGCATGAAGTTCAGCAAGGCCAAGTGCAAGGTCCTGCACGTGGGTCAGGACAATCCCAAGCACGGCTACAGGCCAGGCAGAGAATGGACTGAGAGCAGCCCTGAGGAGAAGGACTTGGGGGTGTTGATTGATGTAAAAGCTCAACATGAGCCAGCAGTGTGCGCTTGCAGCCCAGAAAGCCAGCTGTATCCTGGCCTGCATCAAAAACAGTGTGGCCAGCAGGTCAAGGGAGGTGATTCTGCCCCTCTCCTCTCATGAGACCCCACCTGGAGTACTGCATCCAGCTCTGGGGGCCCCAGTACAAGAAAGACATGGAGCTGTTGGAGTGAGTCCAGAGGAGGGCCACAATCAAGCTGATCGGAGGGCTGGAGCACCTGTCCTGTGAGGACAGGCTGAGAGAGTTGGGCTTGTTCAGCCTGGAGAAGAGAAGGCTCTGGGGAGACCTAATTGCGGCCTTCCAGTACCTGAAGGGGCCTACAGGAAAGCTGGAGAGGGACTGTTTATCAGGGAGTGTAGTGATAGGACAAGGGGTAATGGTTTTTAAGTTTTTAAACTAAAAGTGGGTAGATTTACATGAGATATTAGGAAGAAATTCTTTAGTGTGAGGTTGGTGAGGCACTGGAAGAGGTTGCCCAGAGAAGTTGTGGCAGTCACATCCCTGGAAGTGTTCAAGGCCAGGATGGATGGGGCTTTGGGCAACCTGGTCTAGTGGAGGGTGTGCCTGCGGGCTTTGGGCAACTTGGTCTAGTGGAGGGTGTCCCTGCCCATGGCAGGGGGGTTGGAACCAGGTGATCTTTGATGTCCCTTCCAACCCAAACTATTCTGCGTTTCTGTGCTAATGTACAAGATGTCATGTTTTAATGGTTTCCTACTTTTAGATGATAGTGAATGAGGGTGCGTGTGCATACACACAGATGCACACACACATACACACTACATATTTACTTTCAGAACTCAGCCCAGCCTGTAAGGAGAACACATATTTGGCTCAAATAATATTGTATTTTATGGCTAATGTGATCATCTTATCCCAGTACGCTTGCACAAATAAATAAATGTGCTTGCATTTTGTTTCTGGTATGTCCGATTAAGGTCATTCTTCAGAGGAACAATTGCAGTAAAATCTCCCCCTTTGCAGAAAGGAACACACAAAAAAAATCCCTTTCCTGAAAATATTTCAATAACTAAAACATTTTTTACAGACATAGCATTTCTTTAGACTTCAATAATAAAACAACTGTTGTCTTTAGGACTCATGTAGTTAACAAAATAGATGGTACAAAATAGTAAAGAAATTACAAAAATTGTGGAAGCAAGTGTTTTATGCAGCTGACAACTTTCTGACTTTTTCTGATGTTCCCTACTTTTTTCTTACATCAGTATGTTGCCTACTGAATTCTTGAATTTTTTGAGCCTGCAGTCTCTCTGTGAAGCGCATGGCATAGTTTTGTTACTGTGTAAATAATGGAAGTGGACTAGAGGAGCTCAAGAGTGAAGATACTGTATCTGCATGAGAATTAATACAGTTGTGAAAGAACCATAATTTCTACTAGTCATCCCTATCCATTTTTTTCTTTCAATATTTCCAGGGAATGGTGGCTGTTTCAGGAAGTTTGTCGGTACTTCTAGATTCAATCATCTGTGCTTTGGGCCCATTAGCATGTCTGACCACGCAACTGCCAGAGTTGAATGGCTGCCCTAAGCACGTTTTGGTGAGTTCCTTGTGGTCATTTCCACCGTTAATTTCAGTGGGGTCGAGATGGAGTTTTTAGATTAGTCAGTCTTACGATGTGATTATAATTCCAGTGCAATAAGAAAATTGTCTTGGTCATACACTTTTGTAGAGGAATATTTCTTGAAGTTCTTTAAGATGTTACTGTTTCATGGTATTGTGCAACTTCTTTTCTCCCAGTGGCAGCTGACCTCATATTTGTATCGATTGCAGTGTGTGTAGGTCCTGTTTTAGTGGCTGAATCAATCCATCTGAATCAAATAAAAGCACCTTTACACATATCAGTATTTTTGATGGATCTAATTTTCCATAAAAATAAAAAGCACCTTCTAGCTGCTCTGCATCACACAATCTGTTTTTCCTTTAGTAGCATAAAAAATAACTTGTGATCTCAGAATTCCCAATGTGATTGAGAAGGGCCTTTTACGTGTGGCTGTAACCTTCTCCAAGGAAAGAAAAATAGTCTCTGTTTTAAGGAACAGCATAACTACAGGCTTTTTTCCACTTGTAAGCTACACTTGCTATTGAGCTCTGATTTAGCAACAGCTTCTAGTATCTGTGTAGCATGATGTGGACATACATTAAGATGGCAGCAGCATAAAAGGAATTGGGAGTCATACCTCCAGTGGGAGACATGAGAAGCAGAGAAGGAGCAGACATGAAAAATGAATATATATTCTGCAAAATTTAAGAGATTAAAAACAAATCTGGCAGACGGATCAACAAAAATGGGATATGAATTGGCATGTTATAATAGGGCAGCCCAAACATTGATTCATTCTGAGAAAGGACTATTAACAACAACAACAAAGTTGACAGCTTAGGCTCTGAGCTCCCACAAACTGGCTGTCTACACAAAAGCTGAGTCAGCAGGGTGTTCCCATCCTAAGCCGTGGAAAAACATCCTATACTTTTTTTCCTTCTTGCTTGCCAAGTGCATTCAGAGTAATGACACCGCATGACTAAATGGTGCGTATATTGGAAACTTGATCAGCTTATTGTTATAAGGAGCAATGGAGCTTTAGGTGGATTGAGGCACTTACCCTTCACTTCTGAAAAATGGTATTCAGACTTGATAATAAATTATTCTGATTTTTACCATTATGTACATAACGACAGTGGTGTTTTAAGACATGGATAAAATTGTCCGTGGTCATGTGGCATGTAGAATGCAATTTATCTTTTCAGTCAGTAGGTGGCATTGTTAAATGTTAGAATCACAGCTGGTGCAGATCCAGCTCCTCTGTTTTTAGCAATTAAAATGTGGTTTTCTTAAGGCATTCTTCAGCCATCCAGCCACAGGCTTGATCTTACTGAAATACTGCATTTGAAGAACATACAGATAATATACTGCTCCGTCTTGTTTTCCAATGTTCACAAGAAGGACTTTTACTCTCAGAATTCTGTTATGATTCACAAGGAAAACTGGAGGGCACTTCTTTTTACCATCTGACACCCTATTAGTGGGTTTGCTTGAGGGTTTTTCTCTTTACTTTTAAACTACAGAATTTCATAAAGGACTTGTGAGCGTAAAGTAATTTTTTTTTATATGCTACAACTTTGATCACTTTGCTCAAGTCCTTCATCACTAGTCTTTCCTGTGGTTGATGTGATATGAGCAATGTGGCTTGTTGTTTCAAATGCAGAGATATGGGTTTCATAAGGAGGAGGTCACTTGAGGAAAGCCTCAAGAATTGTCGTTGTTTCCAGGTGCTTACAGATACTAAGGCTACCTTTATGTTTGGTTAACTTACATTTCCAAAAATAGGAAAATAAGCCTAGCAGTGGTGGTGATGACTAGGCAGATTTGGTTGTCTCATCATATGGTAACTTGTAAGACAAGTGAACATGCTTAGAACCCTCGTCTGTCATTTTTTAAGGATTTTGAGTCATTACCTGACACTAAAAAATATTGAATTTCTTTTCCCAGTCAAACACACTAGACAACATCGCCTACATCATGCCTGGACTTTGATGGGAAAGGATTGTGGGATGTACTCGACCTCTGCATAACTGACTTGTGTACATATGCACTACGCCGGCACTCCCAAAGGGCTCCGTGTGTAGGGTTTTAAAGTTTTATATCTGTATAGTATATACATAGGATTGTAACTATTTGACTTCTATTTTATGAAAAGTTGTGCAGTTAAGCTGAGAAAAAAAACCCTTTTGTGTTGGTGGGTGTAATGTCCTCCAATCCGAAAGTATTTTGTGTGAAGAATTCAGAAAGCTTTTGAGATACTCGCCTTAAATTCACATCCTTTACTGGGGGAAGCAGCCAGAGAATGGATTTCTCGATATAAAGAAAAAAAAAACGCCATGAAGAGGGGTCATGGAAACAGGTGGCCCTGAGAAGTTGTTGACTCTCCATCCTTGATGACATTCAAAAACGGAATGAGCAGCCTGCTCTAGTTGGACTTTCTTTAAGAAGGGGGATGGACCAGATGACCTCCTGATATCCCTTCCAGCCTAAAGTATTCTGATACTCTGTGGGCAGGTAGAGGTGATAATGTATTTTGGACCAAGGAAATGAACTGAGCTCTTCATCAGCCCTATTTCTAACTGTTTTTCAGTTTAAGATCTACTGCTTGAGGGGAAAGCCAGATAGCTGATCAAAGATACAGAGGTCTTTGCCTCTTGGTCACTTTCCAGCCCACCCTCTTCAGTCAGTAATAACTGAAAGTTGTCGGCATCATCTGGCTGGTCTGGTAGCTGGCATGTGAAGTCAAGAGGAAGATGACAACGAATTTTCTTGTGGACTTGCACCCAAATTGTCATTAGCATGATATATCAACCAACTGCATTGGCTTGAGAGAATGACCCTCCTGCTGATTCTTCCAGGGCATGGTCAGCCTACGTTGATGGAGAGGAGCGCGGATGCAGATGGGAAAAACTTGGATTGCTTCTGCCCATCTTGCATCTGTTTTGTGAACAGACAACTCTGGTTTCTGAGATCGCTGATCCCCCATCCCTTTCACCAGCAGTATTGAAAGAGCCACGGTGCTGCTGTGAGGCAGTGACTAATGACCCCTTGGAAGCAGTTACGGCTGAGTAAGACACACGTGGGTTGATCGGACCGATTCCCCTACCTTCTAGCCACATACTTGGTGTTTGGTTTTCTGCTCCTCTAAAGAAGAGCCGCAGGAGAGCACTTGATTCTCATATAGGCTTTTGTGTGTCTGTGTGTATGTGTATGTGGTGTTCATGTCATATGTATTTAACGTTTACATATATCTGTAACAGATTTTAATTTATCCTGTATATTTCTCTGTTTGTGTATGTGTGTGTATATATATACATAATTTAAAAGCAAAAATCCCTCCCTCCACCAACAGTGTGTGGAAAAGACGAATCAAGTTTGCCTCACCCCACTTCCTGCAGGAATCACCTATATGTGTAGCAGTAGTAAGCATTGGCATTGTACGGGGAAACACGAGGAGGATTTTAAGTGTTTGTAGAAACAGGCAATCTTGTGAGGGTAGGTAGAACAACTGAAATATAATTTGACTCTGCCTTTCCAGCCTTATAACATAAAAGTTTTAAAATGACAGAAGTGCACTTTTTTTACTTCCAGTCTGAAATCCAGCTTCTGTTTTTCAGGGCAGTTGAAAGTGAGCTGTCCCTCATTGTGGCTGAGCCCCAAGTCATATTTAAATTAAATCCTCAGGAGGGTTTTTCTCCCCATTCCTCTTTACCATGTATTCCCTAGCTGTGCCTGTACAAGGCAGTCTGTCTCTTACGGAGCTTTTCTCAGTGCAGCGTTAGGTTTTCTCACTTAGTAGAGGAGGCAGAAGGTTTTCAGACCACCGTACCAGTTCTCAACGCAAGCCTCAGACCGGAGCATACATGTTTTAACAATATATGACTAATCCCAGTGAGCCTGGAACTGGGAACGGCCCAGGAGGGAGGCACCTCGATCCCACTTCGGATCCCAGCCCTTACTGGGTTGTTGAGAGCAGTACAAAATCACCAGCTCTTTCCTTTTACAGTCGAGAGCACCGTGGTGAAGGGGCAGATCTGCTCTCTGAGGAACAGAAGGGGATCAGCTTCAGCTTTGTTGTCTGTACAACGGAAAACTCTTGAAGAGTTTGAAAAACACAACCCTGGTGTATTGTATTTTTATTTAAAATTTGTACACTTTGTATAATCTGTATCTTGTGGTATTTGGTACTAGAGGGAAAACTTTGGCAAGACTTAGCAGTTTTTTATATTTTTGTTATTTCCTTGCTGTTTGATCCAGATCATTACAATTATACAAAGAAACTTTTTTTGTACTGTACTTACAATATAATTTTTTTTTTTTTTTTTTAACATCTGGAGTAGTGTCATTCATTTCCGGCATGCACTGTGTTTTCTGCAGCTGCTGTTCCTACTAGTAGTTAGCGTTTCTCAGCAGAACACGTCCCAGCTCTCGACTCGTGGCACTCGCTACGTTGGCCGGCACAGGTCACCCCCAGCACCGCTCAAAGGCTCCTGACCGTCCGGGGACCTTTGCGAAGGGACACCTAACATCGAGCGCTGCAGGTGCGATCGGGGC